CATTTCAGGCTTGAAGAAGCTGTTAAAATTCTTTAATTTCTTCATCATTGGCTTCAGTGGGTGGTGCATGGTAATTTGAATCATCGTTGCACCTACCTGGTAGGTGTATAGCTATTATGATAGCATTGTACTTCAAGACAGAACTTGAAATGCTCTTTTGGATGGTGGTTGTGACGCCATGCCTCTATAGGTGTCATTCCTGCCATGGTAAGCCAGATGATTATCCAATTCACAGTGGCCAATACCGGCCCACTCCAGCTTCCGAATGCCTACAACCTCAATCTGGATGCACTCCATTTAATTTTGATAACTCTAAGTTTTCTTAGGCTTTTATTTTGTACATTCCACATGCTGATTATTCCTGTAGGTTTCAGCAGTTTTGAATCATACCCCATTGGCAAATTAAGGTCTTGAAAGCTTTGCTTTATTCAAGTCACTAGGGCCAACTATGAGGGGGCAACTCTTTCCAACTCGTATTTAGAGGGTCTTCCAACCCCAGGGGTTCATCCTCAGGTGCTTCATCAGGCAACATGTCACTGCCATCCACAGGTTTTCAGGGGCTCATGTTCCCCAAATGGTCCTCCTTTTCTTTCTTCCTTGTCTGTAAGCACCACCGAAACCTGTTCACCAGCGGTGGCCCTGCTGGTATTTGAACATATTTGATATTGCTTCCAGCATCAATGCATGCACTAGCCTTCCTAGTGTAATAAATGGGCTAGTGTAGGGGTGTGTGTGTGTGTGTGTGTAGTTGTTATTGCTGTTGTTAGATGCTGCCAAGTTGGTTCCACCGCATAGCAATCATATGCACAGAAGAACGAAACACTGCTCAGTCCTCTGTCATCATCATCGTCATCGTCATCATCGTATATACTCCACTCAACTTGCTGCCATCAAGTCCATGCAGACTGAAAGGGACCCTATAGGGCAGTAGGACTGGACCTGTGGGTTTCCAAGACGGTAACTCTTTATGGGAGTGGAAAGTTCATCTTTCTCCCGCAGAGTGGCTGGTGGTTTCAAACTGCGGACCTGACAGTAACCCAATGCGCAACCACTACAGCACCAGGGGTAGAAAGTGAAGGGAAGTACACATGGCTTAAGCTCCTGGTGAGTCCCCTCTGACCATGGACCAGCGGTGTGAATAGCTTTGCTATCATGCAGAGCACATTGGAAAGTTGCTCATTGCAGATGCAGTGAGGTTAAAATTTAGCACCCTATCACCTGATCTCCCTTATGAGCCATTTAAAGCAGTGGTTCTCAACCTGGGGGTCATGACCC